GGAATTCTGGGAGTTGAAGTCCACCCATCTTAAAGTTGCTGAGGTTGAGGAACCCTGCTATAACATTTCAATTAAGGAAGTTACTTTGCATTTATCACTGTACCATCCCTCCGGTTGAATTGGTTTGGCAAAACACTGAATCTTTGAATTCCAATTTATGTTAGGAAAGGGCAAGTGTGGTTTTTATTTCCTCTGTCCTAGGCTTCCCTTCTGTGTTCAGCTATGATTCTCAGTTGTTGAGAAATGTCAGTAGCCCCTTTAATATCAAGGGGAAATTTTAGGTTGCCTTCTGCCAGAAAAATCAAAGAATGAGTTCTTCTTACTTGCTTAGTGACTTATGTAAGTAGCAATCTTCATCTATTAAAATAAGGTGTTGGTATGCATTTGAAATAATTTTCCAAAGACCACAATCATATGTTACTACTATACCATCATCATCCTTCATCAAGATTAGGAAATGGTCTGCTTACTAATTAGACTGTGGTTTGGTTTTGGCTCAATATGTAAACCATTGTTTATGACTTAATATGTTATGTGAATTCAACCAGTTCACAAACCATGTGTAAGCCAGAACACTGTGGATGCAAAAATTTTTGTATATCCTCAAGACCTGTATTGATGTCAACAGCTTGTGTTACTTGGGTTGTTTGTGAAGGAACAAGAAGTCTGGAAAGAGTTTTTATATTAGTTTTATTCAGGTGCTCAAAATGCCAAGAGTCAGAGATGTAGAGTTGTTGATTCCATCTGTGCAGTGATCATTACAGAAACTGGTTGAAACATGACAGGGAAACTGAAGTGGTACCTTTAGGAACAAAGAAGGGTCAGGATGCTTTAACTTCAAAACTTTTTGTTGAAAAGCTGTGTCTTATAAAATATATACACGCTTATATTATTTGCTATTATGTTTTGCCACCAATGAACATGTTGCTTTGTCTTTAGCTATCAGTAGATTAGATGTAAAATCCCTATGGGTGCTCAGGGGCAGGAAATTTCTGCTTCCTGATAAAGGCTTTAACATTCTGTATAGTTAGCTATTTCTGCTGTTTGCATTTCTGACCTGAATAAATCTTGTCCCCATGAAGGGGGGGGTGAGTTTAAAAACAAAACAAAACTGACCATCTGAGTTAACTGAACTTGCAATGTTAACTAACTTAAATATGTAGTTTTGGGAGAAAAATTGGGGAAGAGTCACGTATTTTTCCTGAGAACTTTTCTGCTTTTTTCTGAAAACGTGAAGAAGAAGAAAAAATCATACTTATATAATAATGCATAGAAATTTTTGTATAATTGAACATTCATTAAGTGAGAAAATAAGCTCATGTAAAAAATATAAAAGCTTGTCTAAGGAGAGATAAACTTTCCATTTTCTGTCTATGAAAATTCAGGGGAAATGCCCAGTTCTTTGGCGAGGATGACTGATGCCCCTTTCTTCCTTTTTGTTCCCTTCTGGGTTTGTTTTCTTTGCCATCGTTGTTCTGTCTTGTGCTGGTTTTTTTTTATTGATTTTTTGTTCTGAAATATTTTTAACTGCCCAAAGTCACTGGGAGTCAGGCAGCATATAAATTTAATAATAATAGTTATTATTATTATTAGAAATTTCTGATAGCTGTAACTTCAGATTCAGAAAAAGAGACAAGGTTTCATGTGCCAGTATATGTGTTTGAGCCTTGGTTTCTCCACCTACTTTTTTCTAAGTTTTTTTTTTAATTAATACTTTCTGATTTTGCTTGATTCAGTACACTACAAAGCCCACAATACAGAGCTTTATCTTTTTTTTTTCTTTTCTTTTTTTTTACAGTGTTGATGGTTTATTTCAAGGCTTTAGGTTTTGCCTACCAGTTTCTCTTAAATTTGGTGGAATTAAAAAGAAAAAGTTGAGTAAAATATGTGCATACTGTTTTAATGCTATTTTTTCTCCATGTGTAAGTATACAAGAATCTGCTTTTCTATTGTTCCTATTCATTTTTTTAAAATATGGCTTTCTTTTTTCCAGTGCACCTTGTAATAAACTATATTTTGGGACCCAACATTTTGTCTTTCAATTCAGGGCTCAGCATTCTGTTCATAGCTAAGAGGCAGAGACAAGCTTTTGAGAGAGAGCCATTAATCAATCTGTAATCATTTAAATTGGAAGATTGTGATGGAAAGGAATGAGAAGGAATTGGTGGCAAAGATAGGCAGACTGGGATGTAGGAGAGTTAACAATAAGTCAATAGATCTTGAAGTTGAAGTTCCTGAAGTTCTTGAAGTTGCTTCCTTCAAGCTTGTTGCATCAGTGAGCTCTTTTTTGTTACATTTGCTCCTCCATAAGGATACAGAAATGTTGATGCTGTTCAGTGCATATAATTCTTGGACTGAAGAAAAATTTTCTACTCAGAAGTTTAACTGAGGTCAGTGAAATTTACCCTGAAAAGTATAGGATGTACTCCCAAGTGTCTAATAGTATTTTGTACCTGATTAAACTGATATATTTCAACCCACACAAATAGTTTTTGGTAGATGTTTATGAGATATACTGGTCTTACCAAATAGTGATTCATATATTTTAAGTTTTTATTGTAAGTGACTGAAAGCTGTGCCATTCTGTGCAGTGCCCACATGACTAAATCTTTTTAATATGACTTACTAAAATCAGTGCTTCCCACCCCCCTACTTTCTCTTTATGACTTGAAGTTCATGGCTTAAACCAGTGCTAAATTGACCTAATAAAAAGTATAAAATACAAAATCTCTACTTTGGGCCACTTCCCTATATCAGATCTTTGTTCATAAAATGTCCCCTATACATCATAGAAAGTACAGGACTTAAATATATACAGGGGAAAAAAATCAGTTCTGCTAACATTTGACTCTTTAGGTTAAGTACTTTTAATAAACAAATGATATATAAAGAACAAGTGTACAACTTTCTAATTGTTGGCCCAAACCTAAAGTTAAGACTCAAGATCTACAAGTCAAAGCATTTTCAGTAACATTTTAGTGAGACTAATTGGGTTTACATGTTCGTTCGCTGTCCTCATGCACTTATTGAGATATGCAATATATTTTTATAGAACATTAATTTAACAACTGGCAAAATGCAATCTTGCCTAAAATTGTAAGATTTTTACAAAACACTGCTTGTCTCAGAAGAATTTCAAACAATTCCCTAAACACCCACGTTAGAGTGTAACAACTGTATATCTGGAGTGAATGCACAAAAGTCTGTCTGGTTTTCTGGTAGAGAAAAAAAATCAGAATTAAAAAACTATTTAGGGGCTTTTGGTCTAAAGTTTTAAAAGGTCTCTTGGTTTTAAGATCTAATTGACTATTGAAGAAATAAAAAATAACTATAATATCATTAGCATAAATATCTTTCTAATGCACACTTTATATGTTGTCTAAATTATAGGCAATCAGTAGGTAATATATTGCAAACACACACACACAGAGTCTATAAAAAAGTTTTTGCTCTTATATGTGCTCGATTCATATATTATGTGCGTCAGCACTTACTGTTCATGAATACTTCATTCTACTAGGTTTAAAAACAAGATGGAATCCTTATCTCAAATTTATATTGATTGTGATACTTGGTGCTTTCCCAAACAAAATGCATTTGAAAAGCCAGCACAGTATAGTAGGTTAAGGCATTGGACTAAAAAACAGGGAGACCCAAGTTCTAGTCCCACTTCAGCTATGGAAGCTCATATGTGACTTTGGACAAGTCAGTATCTCAGCCCAGCCTACTTCTCAGGGTTCTTGTGGAGGGGGAAGAATGAAATTGCTGTGTATGCCATTTTGAATTCCTAGAGGAAAGGTGAAATACAAATCTAACAAGCCTTAGCACCGCTTTACAGGCGAGATCAACAATGATGTTAAATAGCATGCAGGGTCTCGATAAAAACTGCAAATATTTGAAGTTGCTTAACAAAACCAGTTGCTAATCCATTTTATTCTAAATTCAGCTGTGAGTTTGCCATGGAGATACCAGTTTCTCTAATGGATTGTGTATGCCTGGATGAAAAGTGGCAGGGAGGGGAATAAGCCTATTCATTCTTCCTAAACCATTCAGTGGCTTTCAGTTACTTCAGTCGCTCATAATATCCTTCCAAATTTTGTTCTTATTTTAGAGGAGGGAGTGAAGCATTAGCTAAGTTCACAATCATTCTAATGTGTGTGGCTGTTTTTGTGTCAACGCATTGTATGAACCCAGTCAATGCCTGCACATTATATTGCTTAATATAGTGTGACTTGTTTGGCAAACCCTAGCATAGTTTGATGTGTAACTCAGCCACAATATTTAGGTGAATCAACTCTTGATTCTGTTCCAGGTGAATTCTAGAATGGGAAGTGTAATTTTTAGAAGGGAATATAGTACTAAGAAATGCTGTTTGGCCATCTTTAGTTTGTAACTTACATCTTTTCCTCTCCAGAAAGAACTACTTTTTTGCTACTTAAAAAGTAAGAAAATAAATAAATACCAACAATCCTAGCAAAAGATAATAAAAATTAAAAGAATGTTCTTGTGTTCTATCAAGGAATAAGAATGTAAACATCAATACTGTACATTCCAGTATCCAGTTTTGTTTTTGGTATTTTTGCAAGCTTGTTTATTCTAAATCATGGTGAAAATACTTTTGGGCTGTCAAGCTCTTCGGGGCTAGCAAACTCAGGAAACAAGCACCACTTGGATTTCTGGAATGATCTTCATTGCTAGTAGGGTAATATAACAGAATCTTGAAAGCCTGCCAAAACAATTCTCCAGATAACATATAAGTAACATTATTCTGTGTCTTTTTCTCACGCTTCCCCTCTCCTCTGAACTCATATCTTTTCTGTAACAATCCTATTCCATTCTGTGTATCCCAAGGGTCTGCTAAACATTCCATCAAAACTGAAAACAGAGTGAGAAATAGTTAATTTAAACTTTATTTACATTTTCTAGCATGTTTTGTAAAGCATCTCTGTCTTATTTTGAATTAGTTAATACAGTGCAATCAATTCAGGTTTTTCTTTTAACAAAGGGCACCAATCTTCTACAGGATTGTTCTGGTTCAAAATTGGTCATACGCATTGTTACCCTTGCACTACTCAGGGGATTTTATATTAATGAAAATCATTAATCAGTCATTTCAGATGTGAAATGCAGACTTGACAAAAGCATGACATTTATAGTTTTCTGCATTTTTAAAATGAAAATATGGTGTTACGTACTTAGTCATAATAAATGAAATACTAGAATAGAACAATAAGATCTACATTATTAGAACAGATTAACCTATAATTCAATTTGTGCCACTTAATCCTCCTTGATTTAAAACTTTTTATTCCATTAACAAAAGTTGTTTCTCTTTCCCTTACAGCACTTTCTAGGGAAAAGTGTTAAACATGGATGGTGGTAAGTGCATGTATCTCTGTACCTCATAATAAAATTACCATTCACTTTGAAGAGGGTGTAATGCTGTACAAGTATTTTGATCTCTGTGGTGAAAGTGTTTTTTGTTTCTTCCCATGCCCAACTCCCTAGTTGTACATATTTCAGCAGTAAGATTCTCCATACCATTTCCTCCATACCAACATTTCTACTTGACAGGAATTAAATCATTATTTTAACATTAAAATGAGTTTGTGAAGTATCCATGATGGGGAGATCACAAGATAACCCCTTCTTCTCCCCCCTCCAATACCTGGCACTAATTAAGCATTTTCAGGTCAGATTACCAAGTGCAAATTACTTGTAGCTGCACCTAGGTTCTCTTCCCAAAGTTCTCTATATTTATTTATTTCCCAGCCCCAATTTCTCTATAAATGTTACTGTTTCTTCTCCAGCATGGAGAAAAGCATTGAATATAAGACAGAATAGGGTGCTAGTACTTCCTGTTTTGCAAAAGCTGCCTTTCTTCTCCATCCCTGCCAAAAGTAAGCAATGCACAAGATGTCAGCTGAGTGTGCTCTATTGGATGTTTGTACACTAATTGTTCTGTTAAATTTTAGCATTTAGGAATTTAACTGTAAGTGTCCCCAGTCTTTTTCTCATTGCTTTGTAGTTAGTTCCAGCATTTAAACAACCCCACATCTTTATGAATACAGTATGCACTTAAATTGTTTATGGGTTCATAATCCAGTAGATTCAAGCTTTACAAATGTAGGATGAGGTTACATCTGAAGTATCTGAAACATGTTACTTGATGCTGTTTTAAATCTTGTTATTTACTCTCATCTTTATCATGCAGTTCAGCTTGATTAAGTTAACAGGTTGTAGAACTAATTGTGCTTCTAAGTAGACAGAAACAGTACATCTTCATGCTTCAGAAGATTGCTTTGTTATACTGAACATAAATATCTCAGCTTGAAAGTACTAGTAATTCCTTGTTCTCTGCAGTATTCCTCACAGAGGCTAAGGCCAATTCTGTCTTAAAAAGATACCCACGGGCTAATGGAGGTTTGGAAGAATTTAAAAAAGGAAACATTGAGCGTGAATGTTATGAAGAACGCTGTGATAAAGAAGAGGCAAGAGAAGCATTTGAAAATGATGAAAAGACGGTAAGCTGTCTGTTAAAAAATGTAAAGTGTTCTTCGCATATTTAATTTTTCATCTTATATTTTCCCATATAATACATGATACTGCATTAGGGCTGTGGCATGCATTGTGTTGTCACCTTAAAGAATGAAGCTAGAAAACTGACAAAATATGAAACTTTAAATTTTGGACTTAGATGATCCTTACTCTGTGTCAGCTCCTTTTTGCTGAATCATTCCAGAATGAGCTTTCAGCAGCCTTATAAGATCCCATTATTTTTATCTTCTGTGACCAGTATTTACAGCTATTTTTTATTCTAACATGGAGAACTAGAGATCCCAGATTTAAATTGCTGGATATGCATTACAAGTGTCATTAGAATTAAATAGTGACATAATTGTAGATCCTAATATTTTTATAATTGCAAGCTTAGAATAACCCTTGTTAACATTCATATCAGTTACTTTGTTCACATCTCTCACAAGCTTAGTCTTTGGTGCAAATGTCAATACATCAAGAATTCCTCCTTTTAGAGATTAATTTGAAAAGGGGGAGCTCATTTTTTCTTTGTTCTTGTTTTATTTATTTCAAATGCTTCTATGGCATATCAGTGATTCCAATTCAATGTAATAACATAAATACAAGATCAAAGTAAATGTCAAACAACCATAATTATAGCACCAGTATATAAAAATTGATTATAATAAACCATAATTATAATTTTTTTAGGCAGAATTTTGGAAAGACTACACAAGTGGACTCCATGAAGGAAATAACACAGGACAAAACTGGTACCCATTTTACCTAACATTTCCTCTAACCATTGGCCTTTTGGTGGTGGTTCTCATTATATTTGTCACATGGAGATGCCTGTTCCAGAAAAAAACACATGGACGGTCCATGTACACACAGAGCAGAAGCAGGGATGATACAGGTGACAGAAGCATTCCTGATGGGAGAAATCCCCTCCCTCAGTCATTCATCATTCTTCATTCTCCCCAAGAAGAAATGTTTGAAGGCAGTGGACACTCTCCAGGGTATCTGAGCTATGCAGAGGGACCTGTGGATTCCTTGTCAATCCGGTTGTCAAACTGTGAACCACCACCGTCCTACGAGGAAGTTGCTGGTGAAAACAGCACACAGAGAAATGAATTTGCAAATCATTTGGATCCCCCTCCTCAATATGAGGACATTGTGAATAGTATTTCAGTACCTCCCATTACAATCAAATGAAGGAGAAAGATTACATGCTCCCTTTGTAGAAGCAAATGAACCCTAAGACATTTTGGCACTTTATTGCAGCTTGATGTTTGTAGATTTCAAAGGTTTTCACTGTATTACACCAATTCTTATTCTCCAAATTTGGTTTATTCTGTGAGAGTTCCCACTTTTGGGGAAACAAAACAGTCTTCAACGCATATGTAAGATTCTAGGTATGACATTATTGTCAGTGGTATACTTTTTCTATTATTGAGAGTGGCACTAATAAATAGCTCAGTTATAAAAATGGATTGTCTAAGTAGATGGCAACACAAGACCTTATCTAGGCTCAGAAGTTAAGGAGGATTGGTCTTGATTTGTATTTGGATGGGAGACCTCCAAGGAATATCAAGGCTGTAGACTAGACCAGGGAATTAAGAAAGCATCTAGAGGGCAATGGCAAACCACTTCTGTATTGCTGCCAAGAACACTATATAAACGGGTCCATGAAATCATCAGAAGTCAAGTGTGGCTTGAAGAAGACTTTATCTTTACCTTGAACAAAATGGATTAGTATAGCGAGAAATGCTAACATTTTTCCCCCTTGAAATGAGTATTTTTGGAAACCTTGCATAGCAGAAACAAGCAACTCATCTAATACGAATAGTCACACTTGTCTCTAAATGCTTCTACTTGTTATGGTGAACACACTACTGTAATTAAAACTGATGTATCGGTTAACTATATTCAAGCACATATATTTTGATCCTTCAGAAGAGTGCTAAAGAATTTTTGTAATGCTTTGATCTACACTCCCATTTGTAAGCCCTCTTCAGGCTTTATGATTCTGGAGAACTCACCATGTTCTCTCCTGGCTGACATCACTCTAATGACAATGGCTTCTCTTCAGTAGGCTGTACACTGAATATAAATGTTTGCAGAAGAATAGTCACACTGATTTGCATCTCAGTAAGGTCTGTAATGGCACATGTAAAATAACTGCTTTTCCCAATAAACTTTCTTCCAAAAGTCACTTACGTAAAATGAATGAATTCTTTAGGCAGCCAGTGTCATTGGAGTGACATCAGCAAACAAAAAAACTTTTATGATGACCCCTCCAGTTTAGATAAGGCCTGAACAGAGTTAGAATGGTAATCAGTATTAACATATCTATCAATTTCCTTTGTACAGTAAGCAATGAACTGAATAAGAAATGGCAAGCCAAATAAATAAAAGGTTTGAGATTAAAAAAAGAAAATGGAAATACATGTAAAAATTAGTATACACCATCTCCATTCACTATACTGCTCCACTCCTGTCTTTGCAAACCATCTTTGTTTCCACCCCTTCCATACATTGCTTCATACAATGCCTTTTTTTAAAACTTTTCAGTGGTCTTTTCTGAGATTCAGTGGTCTTTTTTTGACATCAGTTCCATCTAACCACAACTTTCTCAGTCTTCCCCTTCCTCTGGACCATTCATTTTTCATTCATTTATTTGTTTTGTGATTCAAACCCCATTTATTCTCTCTGTGTGATCAAACGACATCAAAGTACTTCTTTCGCACTGTTCATTGACTTTTATATTCAATACACATTCATTCAGCACTTAGACATTCTTGACTGTATCTCTTCTTATTTTGCCATATACATTTCTAAAGCACCGATTCCCATGTATTCGGCATTTATGTTTCTTCTGACAAACCCAACTCTTACTTCCATATAACAAAGGGGCAAAAGCATGCTCTTATATACATCCATTTTCATTTCTTTCAACAAACATTCTCTCAACAGATGAAATATTAGGTACTACATTTCTGTCAATATATCTTAAAATTTCTCTGTCCATTTTCCCAACTATTCTCCTTTGAAGAAGGAGGAAGTTGTATGTTATTAATGCACAATGAGAACTGTTCCTATAGAAAAACTCCTGTAGGGAGCTTTCATTGTTTAAATTACAGGAAATATAGTAATTGGCTTCACTGAAGGAGGTTGTTTTTATTTTGTTTTGTTTCTTACATCTTTTTCTGAGATTAGCACATTTATTTGGTAATCCCAGCATTCTGCTTACCTCTGGCAAGTGGAAATGTATCCGATCAGTATTTGGTTGCATTTCAGCAACTTGTACTACTTGGTATTACTTTTGTGCCTTAAAGTTAGGGTGGCCTATTGGTCTGGGTTACAGCATAGCCTAGGTGTACTTTTTTCAACACCGAACTTCTCTTAAGATCCTCTGTTTTCTATGTTTACGCATGTTTTTTGTTTTGCACACTAAGAGAATTTTTTAATCAAAGTTTTTGAATATTGGAGAACAAATTGTTTTAGAATAGTGAAGCTGCTTTCTAGTCAGTTAAACAGAAGTTTGCTTCAGAATTTGGCTATGGATAAAACCTGAGCCAAAAAGAGTTCTGAAGAGTACTGCTTCTTCCTTGTTGCTAATCTTCCCCCGCCTCTTCATCCAAGATTGTAAAAAGATGATGAAATATGTGTTTCTTTTCTCTCATTTATGTGTAAGAGTATTTTCACTTGTATTCCTTTTTCTGAAACTCCATAGTTTTGTTTCATTCTTGAGCAGCTTGAAAGAAACAAGAAATTGAAATAGTATATGCAGAAAGGAGGAGGAAACAAAATTCGTCATCCCATGTCTGCTTTCATTTCTTTTTGTCCATATCTTCTGCTAGCCTTTGTCATCTAAGTGTCTTCCAAAAATGATGCACTGCTGGCTGGGGATTCACAGGAGCTGATCCAACACATCTGGGAGGGCATGAACATGAGTAATTTCAGGTTAGCCTGCCAGATTCCCATACTTTCTGATAGTTGAAGGCATGTTGTTTTAATGGAATGAGAGCTAGAGAGGACAGTAGGTAATTTTTTCTCAGATGACGTAATTCTCATGTATATCTATATTGAGTTCAGAATTTGACTTGTTTAACTACATTTAATGCACAGACATTAAATGTGTCTGAATAATGCAGGTTGCATTCCAGATCCAAATATTTGTGGGAATTGTGTGTTCCAGAGAATGCTGGTTGGCAGGGAGGATGCCCAGATCCTAAAAGAAACAATTATCTGCAGCATACTAATGAAACTTGAGGAAATCACTAGTTTGCCCTGGCACAGACTCTGTGTGTATTTGAGCAAAAGATGTATACTGTAGCTCTCTTAATTTGGATTATTAAGTTATAGATATAAATCTTGGAGGTTTATTAATATATCAAGTGGTTTCAGTACTATTTCAAATATTAAGGCTTCATTTTATTATGCTAGTAAAGAATTTCGTTATAGGAGCTAGTAATAGTGGTAAAGCCAAAAGGGCAATCCATGACCCTCCATATGTTGTTCCAGATAATGCACGATTAGCCACATTTGCTAGCACAGAGGAGAGTGGAATTCTTTAATGGCTTGAGGGCTGTGTGTGCATTCCTGCTATAAGAGACCTGTGTGCGTGTCCCTCGGTTCTTGAAAGTAATTGAACATAATCAGATTCTGAGAATGGGTGTCCTCCTTGTCGAACATCATTTTGCAGTGTTCAGAGAACCAGTTACAATGTAGTACCATGTTTTGCTTGCCTGTGTTTTTCTTCTAAGCTTTCATGGGGGGTAGGAATAAGATGTCTTGAACTCTAGAATGTGTGTGGTGAGCATAGAACCAAATGATATTATTCTGGGCAGAATAAAAATGAATATAGATCTGATATATTCCTTCACTACACTCATTCATTCTCTGCCTCTATACCTTTTTTTTTTTCCTGGTCACACTTTGGCATCCCATTTGCATTTTTATCTTCTGTGTGTTTCTTAGTTGTTGGTCCAAGTAATTAATTAATTGGGATAAGGTAATTACAGGATTAAGAAGCATACATGTAAGGCTCTTCAAGTTTTTATGCTGTGGTCCAAGTACCAGGGGGAGGGAGGGAGACAGAGAGATGGGAGTTGCTTTTGTGTCATACATAGGTGACAAGGAGACAGGGAAAATATATTTTTCTGCTTCAGGTATTGGAATATTTAAGAACAACCTTTCAGTAAATCAACTTGTATCTCTATCAGGGGCACATTTCATATAATTACAAAGGCAATGTATCAGTTTTCTCTCCCATCCTACTCCACTAGTAAGTGTGTGGAAAGCATTGCGGACAATTAAATGTGGATCAGCTACTTTTCATATATTGGATAGAAATTGTTTCCTTAATTCATATTAGCAAAGAACAAGTAATACTTGTATTTTAGAGTGGGGCAATTAACCTAGCTTGCATTGTGGGTAAAATCAGCATATTTTAATGAAAAAATCTCATAAGCCTTTCTAGTGCCCAAAATGCCATATTAATCTCTTATCAGACCAGGATAAATGCAGTATATGTGCATGACATAAAGCGAGTTGGTATCTTTTAGGCCATGTTATTTTCTTTTAAATAATAGTACAAGTGGGAGGTCCTAACATTGGTGCTCCAGAGACTCATGTTTGTTCATCACAGCATGATAATGCAAAGCAAGAGTTCATTTTTCTGCCAGGCTGCCTCGTGTGTGATTTACAAACATCACTTTGGATGGAGGAACGATAACTTTAGTGTTCAGGCAATTTCTGCTGTTCACCTTTCTGTTGCTGCTCACCAATAAACATACAAATCTCTGGCTTTATAGAACAAGTCAGATTTTTCTCATCCAATTTAGATATATTTTCCTTCAATCATACTGATTCCACTTCTTTGAAATATTGAAAATGATGCTTCCATTGAGCTTTATTTTTATGCTTTGCCTTTTTGTTATCCCAATGTATGATGATTTATATAGCGCTTTTATTGTTCATTATACCTAAACTATTTTGAAATAGAATAATTGCCTTCCAAGAGAACATATAGTAGAATGTGCACCCTCACTTAATTTTTATAGATGTTTGAACTTATGTTTTCTGTTGACTGTTAAAATGGCCAAGATGATATATTCCATGTGTGGACTATAACAGTAGCATTATTTTGAACACCTCTAAAGACTTCTAAATGTTCTAAACACTAATAAAGCTCTAGAAGCCATTTGTTTTGTCCATAACTGTTTGACTCTCTGACAACTTGTTCAGTCTTTGAAGCATAACATCAATTTTATTGCAGTATTAAATATTTTACATATATGGTTTACATTTAAATTATGCCATTTTAAAACATTTGGGGGGAACTTGGTATGCTAAATAAAGCTATTAAAAAAAACATGAGTGCCTTTGATTCTTTTTTGGTGGAACAAATAGAGCTGAAAGGGTTCTTTCGCAGTCTTGTTGGTTCTATTGTTGAGATAAAAAGGTTGTAATAAGTTGCTGCAGGCTAAGACTAATCAAACTAAAATATCAAAACACTGCAGTGTGTCACATTTCAGCAGCTTTTCAAAATAATATTGTAAACTCTTCTCTACACTGCATATTCATCTTGGGCTGCAAATGGCACACATTGGCAAGGCCAGCAAACACTAATAGCACTACTACTTTTTCTGTTCTCAGGCCAGAGGATTTATTTGATGGAAACAAAAGTAGGAGAAAATCTACTGTTATAATTACAGCTTGCTTCTGGACGTTGAATTGATAATTAGAGGTCCTATAAATCATTTATCAGTTTCATCCTGGAAGCCAGCAGAGAATGCAAATCTTTTTTTTTTTTTTAAAGGAACTAGAAAGGAATAAGGTAAACTATGTTTAAGGTATTATGGGGCATGCTTTGTTGCTTTATGGTAATGTGTACTAATTCAACATGTGAACATCATGCATTTGGTGGACTTTTTTGGTAAAAATAATTTATGGTAGAAATACGCAACCTATGTTTCTGTGGATGTTGGTGAACTGCAGTGTCCCTCAGTGTTGGCTATATTAGCAGGGATTCCCAGGAATTAAACAGTATCTGAAAAACACAGTTTGCATACTTTTCATAATATGGTTATAAATTTGATGCTTATAAATAGTAGGGCTGTACAGTGCTTTAGGTTTAAAGGCTAAAACATGCTTCTGAATGCATCGAGGTAGAAATATAGCATCTGTCTGCAACTCTTTAAAGCAGCTGCAGCTTATCCTGGAATCATGCAGCTGTTTGTGCCTCTGTGTCTCCAAAGCCTCTTTCTGCCTTCAATTCCAAAGCATTGCACAGTTCTAATAATAGGCATACTTATGCAGTAGAGTACAGGAATCATTTCTGCAAAATGCAGGCTGAATCTTCCAAGTACTTTCAGAAACTGGCAGCCATAGATGTGCTGGCTCTTTTATCATCATCCTGTACAATGTGGATGCAAGTGGATTATGCTGAAATATTTACAAATAAAATGGGATTTAATTATGTATTGGATATTAAATGTCCTTTTCCAAACATTCATGTAGATATCCTACCATGTACCAGATGCTTTATATTACTGGTCTATCTTGTGGAACCCTTGATTCATTTTTATATATTGATGGTTGCGTTTGTGAATTTGAGAGTATCTTATCCTTTAATGGGGTTGAATAGCAAAGAGAAACAAACAAATATTTAATCATTTAGGTTTATATCTTCCATAAACTAATTCCTTTGTCTATGGTAGCATAGTTTTACAAAACTGCAACATGATACCTCCAAAAAGACGACATCTGAAAATAATTGATGCCACAAGAAAATTACAGGGCAGCATACCCTTTAAAACAGTTCTGATTTTTTAAAAAAACCTTTGTTAGCAGATCTGTGCATGTGCTGACTGTTTAAAACATCTGCTGTGGCAGCACAATACATGCCATTGTAGGGACAGTCACTAGAATTGTAAAGGGGCATTATTCTGGGACAGAAACCGATGCTGCAGTTCAGTTTGTCAGGGTCATGATACCTAAGCTGTTAACTCATGCAAACAACCAAATCATCAAGGCAGTTATCAAAACTTCAGATATGAAAGCAAATGGTTGTGAACTGGGAATGAGTCATCTGTGGGTCACTGCTAAAAATAGTAACCCTTTAAATGAAAAGTCCATGAGATAAAGAGTCATGATTTTTAGTTTGTCTTGACTGTTGCATCAGCACACACAGAGTTGTGTCCTTCATTGTTGTCATCTGTTATTGTTTTCTCAGCTCTCACCACCACTACCAGTCAACACATACAAAATAACTCCAGCAACTACTTCCCTCAGATTTGGATTTATTTAGAGGATGACAGTAGGGTATATGGTGCATGTATAATATGGGTTTCTAGGGAATTATGTAAAGACTTACAAAAAGTTTGGGAGAATTTTGCTTGATATTCCAGATAAGAAATAGAAGCTCACTTCTTTTTTTTCTTTTTTTATTAAAAGCCTTCATAGTATTTTTGCAATATAGACACTATTCAGGATAAGAAGCAGCATTCTGTGTGGCAAAATTAAATATGTCTACCAGCTATATCAGTGGAGCTGAGTGTGTATTATGTTAATTATTAAGCAGAGGATTACAGTACAAAGAAATGTTCTGGATGATTCAAATGTTTTAATACTGCAACAATTAACTTTCCCAATTTAAGGGGGGGAACCTCCTGACTTGTGATAAAAACCATTACATCAATAAGCTTTATTTAGTGTTTGCTATTAAAGAATTGATCTTCTAACTAGAATCACAATTCACAAGAGACCTCAGCAAGTTTAGCACTCAGTTTTCACTTTCACAACTGTCATTCCATCATGCCTTTGATCTTCAGAGAGATTACTTCAGCTGTCATAAGATAATGTCTTTAATTAGACTGAGAAATCCAAGGGCATAAGATTTTGGGGGGGGTAACTAATTTGGAGTCACTCTTTTTATTAAAGAGGCACAGGGGTAAATATAGCAAGCTTAGCACTTCAGAAACTAATGAGAAATACATGCAACAATGAGTCAGTCTATTGTCAAGTCCTGGAACAGACAAGACAAATTTTCATGTGCTTTCCTAGGGTGAAATGTGCAAGGAAAAAATGCATTAAAAATTATGTATGCATCTCATCTTGATAGCAATATGAAGCATTTTTACTCCTTTGCTGCTTCTACTCAAATTTTATCATAGTATTTACAAACTTGCCATTAAGGAGAAATATGAATAAGAAACAAATTGCATGGAAGGAAAAAAGTGCAGCCATTCAGTTTCATATTACAAAGAAAGATGAGAACGTATCAACTATAAATTACTCATTTCTTACAATGGCATCTGAAAAATGTTACAATAGCTCTATGAACCAGCACTAGAACTGTTGAATCAGTTTTTGGGTCAAGCGTTGTTACAAATGTTTGTTTCTAATATTTTCTCTGCAGTATATGCAAACTTCTAATTAAGTGTGCTCATCCCATGAAGTCTGGTAGGGTGGGTATGCTCTGGGTCCCCCCATCAAGGAATGTCATCTAGGTGTGGCTTCTCTGTCGCAGGACCTGTCCTATAGAACAGCATACCTTCAAGGTTTGAATGGTCCTAACCTTGCCTTGAGAGTGTGAGAATAGGCTAAAGTTGCCATAACCCAGTGTTCCTCAACTTTGGCAACATTGAGATGTGTGGACTTCAGTTCCCAGAATTCAGGGAGTTGAAGTCCACACATCTCAAAGTTGCCAAGGTTGAGAAACTCTGCTATATCCTAAGCATGGACCAGGCACGTAGGCACAGAGAAGACAAAAGCCAGGAATCTTGTCAAAAAGATCCCTTCACAAGATAGATAAGGAAAAAAGTCATTAAGGGTTAAGGGAGAAATGTCACCAGAAGACAGGCAAAGGAGGCCAGATGATGAACACATAGACCTCCCCACAAGTCCCATCAACAGCTACCAGACTTGTGGATCAACAAAACAAGGGCTTTGGGGAATAAAAGGGGTCCTGAAACCCATCCGCTCTTTGAATCGTCCTGGATACGGACTTAGTGAATTCCAGCTCTCTAGCTAGTGCCTGGACGTGGGTATGTGGGGATGAGCATTTGTGTGAGAGACAGAGCAAATATACATTGGATCTCTGTGTATTCCATCAGATCCTAAAGTGCCTCACTGTTCGGTTGAAAATGATTTGCATGTGTTCCTAATTATTTCCTGGCTGCTGACCAGGGCTGTGTGTAGAGAGCAAGGGGGGCTGCAAGATCCGTGTGACTCAAGAGGTGGTCTGTGCATGAGTGAGTGGCCACAAGCCAAACTTGGGACCAGGTGTAACACTGATCTTAAGTAAGGCACTAAAAACCTGGTTCGTCCTCCAAGCATTGGGTCTGAATATTGAGTGAATCCATTTAATGTGGTGACTGTTAATTTGTTGGGTTTTGCTTTGGGCACACAATGATCTTTTAATTTGTTTTTAATGTTTATTATGGTTTTTATTGATTGCTAGCTTCCCAGAGTTGCATGTTAGTTGGGCAGCCACATACATCAAATAAATAAATGTATACTTAAACATTTGCATAGAAAATCAATTAAGTTGGAGCTAATTTGAGAAGAATTTCCAATGTTGTGTTGTACTAAAATTACTAAAGGAAGTGTGTTTCTGTAGAAAGAATTTTTTTTTAAAAATCCTATTTTGCTGGAGGAAATACTAAGCAGCCAGTCTATTCTTTTTAACCAGCTTGCATTACTTTGTAATGGGTAGAAAGAAGGTAAATAGAAATTGTATGGTACAGCGTGATTTTTTCACACCATAATTAATTGAGAGTCAAGTCAATTTGGAAAGATAATTGTACATAGAACTTTTGTTAAAATACCTTTCATTTTTTAACCTAGAAAATAATATGCCTAGTTGTTTATTTTTCCTGCTCTCATTTACAGCATGCTCACTTTTTTTTCCAAATGTATTTTGGCAGCCAAAGAATAAGCATTTATTTACTTTTATAAATCAGTGCATGTAATGTACTATATATCCTTTAAGTAGTCTTGAGATATCATATCCCCTGTATCACTAGCAGCTACAGTGAATTGTTGACCTGAATCATGAACTAAAACAGCATCTCATTGCACATGGCTGGCCAGCCACCACAGCTTTCAAGCCAGCTAAGGTCATGAGACATAGGTTCCACTTTCCATTTCATAACAATTGCTGGTTCCAGCTGAGGAATACCTTACTGATATTTTG